TGGGACCTTAAGGTCTCGTAACAGCTATATGAGTATCTCGACCTCCGATGAAAACGTTTGAGAAAAAGTAACTCCCTCGGTATGTACCCATTAGTCGATTGGATACGCGCGACCGGATACTATAGCTTTCGCTACAGACGAGTCGCGAGAAAAGTCTGTCGAGGCATTCACCTCTTTATTTACTCGACGTCGGGTCGTCAGCCCCGTTTTAATAAATTGCTTCGATAATGCGCCATTTTCATAGCGCATGTGAGTGCGCCCACGCCTTCGATCCACGTCTACCCTGACAGAGACGAGATGGACCATAATTAGTGGATGTCATAGAGTTCGGGAGACCTTCGGTTCACATCTCCCCGAAGGTCATAGAGATCATAAGTTGAAGTAGATAGGATAGTCAATAGTTTGATTTTCTTAAAAGGCACAAGATTTCTGTCTCCTACTAAAGCCTAGTTGTTTACTTAGAATGTATTTTGGAATTGATATTTTGCACTAAATCCTATTAAAATAGTTTGTTTCTCGACGTGTAAGTAAGTGTTTAATACCTTCGAAAGTTTTTGGAGCCCACGTCTTGCAGTGGGAACTTCTAAAGGGCTAATGACAATCAATAAATCCGTAGATCATAATTCGAAAGAAAACAAATACAATTGCGGAGTATTGAAATATTCATTCGCTATTTATTCAGCACATCTGCGTGTACAGAAGGGATCTGTTTTAATCTGAATAATTATATCGACGTAGCCTTACTTAAAATACGAAAATATAAAATTGAGCGGGCATTCATTTAAAATTATAATTTGTCACGTGCGATGCCACGACGGCGAACAACAGTATTTTATTCAATTTGTGACCCATTATTTTCGATCATTGTCAATTCGTTATGTAACCTCTTATGTTCACACCCAAAGACACATTGAAATTATCAACTCTTGTTTTGTAACTTAGTCTTTCAGCTCAAATGTCAATTGTGCTGACTTAGCATATCGATTCGCAAATAATTAACATGTTTTGTTCTATTTGACCGAATCCTATATCGCTGCGTTGAATATGCGTGTCATCTTTAATTTTTAAAGTGCTCTAAATTTCGTTCGACAGGTAAAGTCTCCGGTACAGCCGTCCTTATGGCTAAATATATCCTTATCGATGAAGAACAATTCATCAACGAACGTAACAGCGCTATAAAAATAATGGTTGCGAGCACATGACGGTTGAAAGGTGAAATGTCAACCGAGGTGCATCTCAGGGTAATAACCTCGGGTCGCAATTTAACAATGTTTAATTTAATGCCATGGGCGAACTCAATTACGTTGATAAAATCTTTTTATGTTCGTGTTATTTGCAAATAGTTGATGAATTCATTATAAGGTTTATTTATTATTTAATACATTTTACTATTTTAATACCTACTGTGGCATTGCTCCCGTCTTTCTTTAAATTTGTGTAAGTCTATTAAAGAATATTTTCTTAATTTTGAGTACTCGTAAATATGTTTGAAAGAAATCATTTCAAAATCTAACAGACTGATGATAATTAATTAATGACTCAATAATTTAAGGTTATCTGTTGTTCCAAATTTGATAAATAATTAAAATACGACGTCACGATATATTACGACTGCATAATTTTCGATTTCTTTTAAGATCTCGTTGCAAACCTGTACTTATTTGATTTGTTATCTAAAAGTCCATCGTAAAACATTGCTTAGTCAGGTGTGATGTTACAGAGGCAAGGACGTTTGCTTTTATCACTTCCTGCTTCTATATTTATGATGTGTGAGTATGATTTTGCCAAATAAAAGGCCTATTATACTAAGGTGTCTAATATGAATTAGATTTAAAGATAGATTTAATGTTTTTTTTTTAATTAACATACACGCAATTTTTATTAATTTATGTGTGTAAGAACAATTTAATGGTAAAAAAGAAAGATTAAAAAAGGCAATATTCTATATGCTTTATAAAGAACAACAAATATAAAGTACCCAAAATATAAGAATTTATTGTTGTGAACCATTCCTGTGGTGTTTGTAATTAATAAAGTTAATAAATAAATAATTACTCTAGTTACTGAATTGAATTTGTAAGAGTGCGATAAGACGTCTTTAATTATTGTATAACAAGTGTTTACCGCGTGACTAAAACATGAAAATATTAAATAAGAATTACACTAATTAGACTCCTAGTGAAGGCCTCTTAAAATAGATACTTTGCATGACGTATCTAATCTATTTTACTAATCATACATTGTTGACAATTACAATGTGACATAAGTGGCTGCTAATATTTTAATTATTTTATTAAAACTTAAATAGAGGAAGCATCATATGAGAGGGAACAGTAGCGTATCATGGACAAAGGCCCCTAGTACATAAAGAATCGGGCCCTCTCTTTCCGCGTAACTTTATCTTCTTATAATTATCCAATATTTCATAGCGAACAGTTGGAACGCAAACAGTTCATTTAAAAACCTTAGTTGTTTTATCTTTCGCTTCTCTTTGCGAAGATAGGCTAAGATCCCTCCGGGGCTCTGGTGCACTGCATCTACTCTGTTCCTACGAGAGCTACATCATTGGGGGAGAGGCAATAATCATTAACACATTCAGTGACATGCATTAAATAGATATACATATATGTAGTTATGTTTATATAATTCTAATAATCAAAATAGGCTCGACAATCGCACAACTCAGCAACTAGACTGAAACCTAACGACCACCACTACTGTTGACTCGTTTGCAACCTTCTGATAAGATAGAAGAAACTAGACCTGTGACATCAGTAACAGCATCTGCGACAGAGTTTAATAACACACAATGAGTATTATTTGTGCGAACGATATGATCATTATCGCCGCAGTTAATACTCCGGGCGCAGACTATCCAGCTCAGAATAACAGTAGATATTTATCAAATGGGTGGTAGGAACATCGAAACAGATGAAAAAGTCGTAAAGTTTAATCGTATTTCGGTTTCAACTGTGGGTTTTCGAATATCCAAAGCCAAGATAGGTTTAGATGCTAAAGGCTGGGGTATTTCACACACTATTAACTGAAACCCACGTTTGCCTGTCCTACATAGAGACAAATCTCTAATATTTAAAATATCATTTTAAAGTTCTCCTCTCTAGATGACGTCACACATTTCAAATCCAAATTGGTCAACGATTAATAGAAAGACTTGGCATAGGTACAAGTCTTTTTTATATTAAAGTAAGCTCCTCGCCTTCAGTGCCTACTCTGATCTATCCTCATCAAACTTCCGACATCAGATCTTCATTTGGTATTGTAAGTATGTCATATAATGCGAATTTTACTTTTAAAACGATTCGTTCTATCAATTCCTTTAAATAACCTTTGAATATGGTTAATACTTTTACCTTGACTTCTATTAGTATGCGCTCGAATATTTTTGAAGGGGTGAATAATTTGGTATATCTGAATAAACCGACAATCACGTAACCATTCTATTTTTAACTGACTTCGAAAAGGGAGAGGTTATCAGAGCATTTTGGTGAACATATCTCTAAAATTAGTATTGACTTCTATCAGATTAGATAGACGGAAACTCTTTGTATTGTTAAATGTTCTTTAAAGGATGAATAGTTGAAACGGTTACGTTTGGTGACATCGTATTTATCTTAAAATATGCTCAAGACGATCAGTTTCTTAATATAATCTAACTATACTTATATATGGAGCTGAAGAGTTTGTTTGTTTGTTTGTTTCAACGCGCTAATCTCAGGAACTACGGGTTCAAATTAAAACATTCTTTTCGTTTTGGGTAGAGCATTTATCGAGGAAGGTGCAGCGAGAAATGTGATCAAAACGGGGGGGAGTTTTATACTTCTGATGCGTACGAAACCGCTTCAAGACACCTAAAAATATGTATAAAAGAATGATTTGTCTTTAAATGATCTCAACAAAGGCTGCGACGCTATATGTCTATCTTTTAAGATTAACTTGCAAGAACGACAGGAAGGGCCGCGACCGACGTCGTGGATAACAGCTTAAATAACTATACTACGCGGACGAAGGCACACACAGCTAGTTCTTAATATAGAGCAATTTCCAAGAATTATGTACTTAGCTTCAAATTTTAAAGCTTCTGAGACTATTCGAAGATTGTATAATTCAATATATTTATATTGTTATCTGTAACACAATAGTTCCTGTGAATTTGTTTCTAAGCGTTAATATACATTCAGTGTTAGAGGAAAAAGATGCCACCTGTTTTAGCACGATCTTCATTCATCGACACCCAAGAAGCTTCTGAATTGCTTTCTTAGCTCCTAATCAACGGGTCGTGGATTCGGTTCGCAGCCAGATCTACAATCACTTTTAAATAAATTTAATAGTTCTTCTCAAAATTGCGTTGGCGAAATCTGGACATAAAATTGGTGGTGGGAATATCGAATTCCAGACACGAAGCACCGTTCTGAGATACGAAATCATAAAGTGCAATCCCGTATCGGTTGCAGTCTTGTTTTCTTAATGCACTAAGCCAAAACATGTCAACGGCGCATATTGTTTAGATGATATACTGTTGAGTTATTTCGTGTTAAATCAAGTGAATCTATGTATTGTCTGTTGTCTTCTATCGTAAAAACTTATCGTTGTACCGGCGCGGTATCTATAAATAAGCAATCGATTTTGACGTGGCGAATTTTTACGATGCGCCGATAGCGATCTCGCTGACTCACAATATTTGTATTCCCAGTGTAAAACGGTTCAAGGCCGCCTTATCGCAACACATGAATAAGAGAGCGGTCACCGGGTAAACATTAGATTTGTGCCGCGCACTGACATTGTTATCGGCAGGTGAGTGGAGTGCAGCGGCTGCGACCAATTGCTCCGAGGACAATAATAATAGTCTGACTTGGACCTAATACGAATTTAAACATACTTAAAGCCCTTTTTGCTTTTTAGTAATTAGAGAATACTAGAACACTTAAAATCGAAAATAATAATAATTTTAACTTTATCCTAACGTTACCATTTGTTGGCAGGCATGAAAATGACCATGTCCACGACCGCGACAATGAGCGCCCGCGTCCACAGGAAGGTAATACGGGCGCCCCATAAGCGCCCGCACACGGGCAAGTACCTGCACGCGGGCAAGATGGCGCACCCGGGCAAGGGACACCTTTCGGGCAAGTTCGCGCAGCATTCGGGAAAATTTGCGCACTTGGGCAAATTCGGTAAACTCGCCCACTACGCGCACACACACTTGCTCAGGCCGCCGGAGCCCTGCGAGAATAGCAACGACAGCGGCCTCGGCCCAGACCCGGTTCACAGGTGAGACATAATCTTCCAAGCGATTGGAACGTTATGTTTTGTGAAACATGTTATGCTTCTGTTAACGCCACATTATTGGTAGCTGTAAGCCACTGTGTTTAATCCCCCCAGCGCAGCCTAAGCGAAAAAAAGCTTTTAATTTTTAAAGTAATCTGTCAATATCGAAGTGTGATTATCTCAGTAGCACAATGCACCATTGAAAAAGTCAATTCTGCAATTTCAGTAAATAATTTCAAGTGTAACGAACTAAAGTATCTCGATATTAAATTTTTAACAGTGGCTTAGGAGCGTGCCGAATCATAATGTACTGAATACTCAACTGTAACATGTTATGCTTTCCGCTATGTGAATGTTGTCTGTTTCGAATGTAAATAATTGTAATCACTAATTTCTAAAAATCATAATATTAAAAGCATGCAATCTAGATACGACCAAGAGCACATTGCTGACACCTGAGGCACTATCGAATGCCCAAACACGTCTCAAATAATGAACTAGTTTGTAGGATTAAGGAAAGTAGATTAAGGACGAGAATAATACAAAATGCGATGGTTTTATAAATCCAAAGGATGGGACAATACGAGTAATTTCCCACTGAGCTTTTAAAGGCTTTTTTGTGATAAAAATAATAATTTGATTTCTTACGATAAAAAAGCTTGTTGCCCGAACACCTGCTACGTTACGTGTTACATTACACGTCTTTGCTTAGAACAGTCTATGATCGTATGTACGTACGTCATCGTACAAACTAGAACATTGTGTATCGGCAACATGATAATTATTGGTTATCTACCTATTTTGACCTTCGCAAGAGATACGGCGCCATCACGGTTCGACTCAACTGAGATTCATTATGTTCAGTGAATGAATGGCTTAAAACGGTTATATAGCTATGATAAGCCATTGCTCAATTTAGCTTTTAACTACATGCAGCTTCCGCAGCTCAGTGGCTAATCGTATTCTCTAACATTTCGTTGGGCACCAGAGGTCCCGGGGATGAATCTCGAGGGAACAATAAATTGTTTTTTGTCGGTCAGGATACAAACTTTGATCAACTAGAGTAGTAGTAGTAGTAGGTCACCAGTAAGTAAAAATACGGTTTACGTTTGTGAATTCTGAAAAATAAAATAATTTAAATTATAATCTGTAAAATAAATAGAGATATGTATTTTATAAGCAGTTTTTGTTCATTTTGGCCTGAGACACAATAAAAAATAAACATTATTACCACATTACCCAGTCTTTAACGATTTTTTTAAATTCATGTTTAAAGAAGTGGCATATTGTTTCTGAAGACTTCTAAAATAAATTCATATTTGCATTATAACATACAAGAAAAGCAGAAGCCAAGACTAGTCTATACATCGTCGACTGTTGAACTCCACAAATATTTTTTAGAAAGGTCCAACCTAATAATTACCAGCACGTAACACACGAAAGCGCTATTTGATTGCGTGATCCCACACTTGTAGTGGGATAAAAAAATATCGTGTCTCACATTAGATGTACATCATTTTAGATAGAACGAGAGCCATCATCATTATCTCTATGCGACCAATGTTTAAACTTTAAGGCAACCTTTTTAGGCTACGGTACTTCACCTTTTATTAGTGAAATACATACTCGTCTCTCCCTTTATCCTAAAAATGTATAAGATTCTTTCAGCGTTTTTGATATTTCAATTATATCATCTTATATATAGACTAAAAGTAAACCGCGAGCATAAGCAAATGTTTCGCGATATCGCTTCGGTTTTTATACCCATGACGAGACCCATGAAAAGAGCAACAGCAGTAGGTGAAATGGCCTATATAATCTAAACAAGATGCGCAGTTGGCCTATGACCTATTACCTTATTGAATATTTGAAAATCCACAGATGAGACGGAAACGTGATAAACCTTCATGATTCTATTCTATCCCTATAAATATAGGTCCAACTTCGTCTGGAAATCCATCCGCAGATAAAAAATCCGTTGACAACTCATGTGCTATATATCATATCTAAATGAAATTTTTACCATTTACATTTTATTCCGATATGAAAGGCATTCCATTAATATTCATAAATATAAAAGTAAATCACTATATTTTGTGAATAAATCTAATAAGAATGCTTCTAATATTACATTAGATACAACTCCAAAACACTAAAAATAAGGCATCTGCTATGCATATTAAATAAACAAATCAATGTGTCGAAAATTATTAATATTAATGATTAATATTAAGAAACATTTGACTAATAAGTAAATAAAAGTCATGGCGAATCAATTATATAGCAACCGAATTTCAATACTTTTTCACAATTATTAATAGTTAGTAGTATTATGCGCAAGCGCTGCGAAGCGCCGCACATGCTGACGTTTCTTGGCAATCACCCATAAAAACTATATATCACTATTATTTGACTTAGCGATCTTTCCGTAAACACAGAAGTGCGTTACTAAAGCACTGAGAGCTATTATTAGGATTTTTTCAGACATATAACATTCGAATAGTGTGCGCTGTCGGCCTATTTTTAATGCAAATATTTGTAGATCCATGGAAGTCTGGGTTAGCGTTGCCATTTATTGTGGTTTTCAAACCGGAATTCTAATATAATCTACGACTCACTTTAATTTCACGGTGCCCTAAAACGACTATAAAAAGTGGATTTATAAATGTCGTGTCCTACTTTATTAAATAATTATACTTTACCGAAATTATTTTTAAGTGAGTAATTAAACTCTTTTATTTTATTAATCCTTCTACCATTTGTTATTTTTGAATTCTAAAGAATCATACTTCACGTTAAAGATGGCTGCTAAATGTATCGTTACGTACATAAAAAGACCCGCCTAGTCCTTGGTTAATTGGACGAGCATTGGCATAGTTTGCTTTCGTGTATATTTCGGCTAGCTGACCTTGCGCAGTAGATCGTAGCTGTCTTAAAATGTAATTACTGATGAGTGCAACTAAGCCAAGATAATTACGCTTTTATCTATTATATGAGTTTTATTTATTATTTGTATGTTACAACAATTTTTTATTCATACCCTCTACGCTGTAGAAAACTATCGAATGTCTCGATATAATATTCTGAATCACACTTTCTTAGAGGGAGGATACAATTCTTACAATTCAGGCTTACGAAAGAGTTACATACTCCGGCCAATTTAACTGCCACAAATAGATCAAACCATCTTTGGATATCAAGAATAAAAGTCTGATTGTTGTCTGCGGCAACCTTGGCCTTAGAATTTTAAGTAGTGTTCAAGACAAGGTGATGTGCTCTTGGTCAGTGTGTCATCGGATTTAGGACACCACCATCGCTAAGCTTACTCAATAAACGAAGTACAACACAGTTTACCATTAAAATCGCCTAACGCAACCATTGTCGAAGCATGTCCTCTCGTCCGTAGTGATCTGCAACGCTTTCGGCTGCATTTCTGCCACGAGTTGGTGCTCTAAATTCCAAAATTGCGCAGACTATCTGACGCGCCCGAGGACTGGGAACAGCCTGATGCGAAGCGCCGACGGGATAACGACGCCGATGTTAAAATTGAATGTGACGACGCGAATGACGCGTACGCTTTCGCACCGCCGGCGGGGCCCGCTAGCGCGCCCGCTCCGCTCGACGCTGCGTCCGCCGCTCTGCCCCTGCCCGCGTATGTTCTCATTCAACTAATTCACCTCAGCACGCCTGGACGCGGCGTTTAAGCGATCTCGCTGTTGCTTCGCGGATGTCGCGTCCACACTTGTCATCTACATTTTAATATAAATACCATGATAACTGTTTAGGTGGCATGCATCGTAACACACGACGCATGTACAATTAAAAACAAGTCACTTAGTAATGGCCTTTGCAAAAGGCTTCATGCTCATATACAATAATTGCAAAAACATATTCAGAGTTACTTCTCACTTCACCTTCATAAATATCTAGAACAAGAGATAGACAAATATTCTAATCTATCTTGATTAAAATAATTGTTAATCTTGACGGCACGTCGCTCTGCAATACGACAAGTATTACGTGACGTGGGGTCAAAACCGATATCGCTGATTGAAGTTTACATAAAAAGAGATTATTTTATGTATCAATCAATCATTATCAACAATTAATTTAAAATTACTTAAATTAATTACTAGTTATTGAGGCTTTTAAAAAAATGTATTATCTGGCAAAGGTAAGAAAAATAATGTACCCACATTTATATATAATTCCACGTCTGTTGCAGAATACGAGCAGGGTGCAGCATATCTAGTCCAACCATATCAGATTCACCGAGCAGGTTTCAAGAGCCGTCCTACAGATCTTGCGGTAAACTGGGCACGACCGGCAAGTTAGCCAGCAAGTACGCAACGGGGGGCAAATTGTCGGGGAAGTTAGGGGGTAAATACGGGGGCAAATTGGCGCAAGCCCTGGCGAGGAGAAGAGCGCTAGCCTCGATGACGCACACCGGGCCCCCTGGTTTAGCGGCGCCGTTGACCAGCAAATCCAAAGATGGCACAGTGGAGCTACAGATACTGTGCCAACCAGAGTCACAGCATAGGGCGAGGTACGTGGGAAAAATCAGTGCTTCCTTCCGTTTACCTCAGACATGTTCATGTCGTTACAGACAAAATTTGGAGCGTACTGATTTAATAATTAAATGTCCATTTCATATTTCAGATATCAGACAGAGGGTAGTCGAGGAGCAGTGAAGGATAATTCGGGGAATGGTTTTCCAATAGTGAAACTAGTCGGTTATGATAAGCCAGCCGTTTTACAGGTGAATTTAACATTTTGCGTAGACCTATAAACGTAAGGGTTCGACTGGTCATTTTATTAGATGATACGTAATACGGACATGAATCTGTTTGTCTATTAATTTGTGTAAGGTGCAACATTATTGTGTATTGTGTAATTCCAAGAACAATTGCTAAACTGACAACTTTTGAGTTAATTTTCATATGCATGTACAACGTGTGTGTTTTAAATTTGCTGTCAAAAAATAAATTTATTTATTATATTTGTTGTACGTCACTTAGTACACGACAGCAATTTCGGACAATTTATCCGAAGGCTAGGAAGATGAGGAAGCCGCTCGTTAGATCAGTGTTGCCAGATTATAAGCGGCACTGATCTAATTTCAATAAGGAAGTTGAGCCATGCTTCACAAAGAGACAGATTTTTCTTTAGAACTGTACTACTTGTGTATTTTTATATGTTATAGTGTTATTGTATAGTGAATTTATGCAAATGCACAGATTAAAAATTATGAATTTGATATTTACATACTCGTAGGGATGGCATGCAAGTAGAGTCAACGACAATAGAAGGTAGAAATCCCACCCATGCACGATCGCTGATAAGCATTACGAACGTCGAGTTAAACAATAATGGCATAAAATTAAAAAAAAATAAGTTGTCTTAACAGTGATTTTGAATAGTGTGGTCGTTTTGACCTTTGATTGTAGAATGGATATTTCTTGAACCCTTTGAAATCAGCCATATCTGTTGTGATCTTTTGCCAAGATTCCTAATAGACTGGATTGTGGAGATTAAGTCAACCCCTTTCTAGTCCTACCCAATAACATGACTTGAATACGCTTACAGGTATTCATTGGCACAGACACAGGTCGAGTGGCCCCGCACATGTTCTACCAGGCGTGTAGAGTCTCCGGCAAGAATTCCACGCCCTGCAAGGAGCGGAAGGAGGACGGGACCGTTGTCATCGAAATAGACCTGGAACCGGCGAAGAACTGGCAGGTCACCTGCGATTGTGTCGGCATTTTAAAGGTGCTTATGGCGTGGACTTATCCATCTATGAACCAGGACGGGTTTCCGATTTGCCTACCGCCCAAATAATGTCTCGATTTTCCTGATGTCTTAAATGTTGCAGAATTTTTATAAGATGATTGTAAAAACATGTTAACTCGGTGGGAATCTAAGCCACGACTCAACTTTTATTACTATGATCACAGCCACGAAGCCGATGTAATTGACATTGAACCAACAAGACTTTTAAACGTAAAATATTAGACGAAAGTTCTAAAAGTGACGTATTTTATAGTAACGTAAAATGTGTTAAAGAAATAATTTTATATTTTCCTTTATGAATTGAACGAAATTAAAGATCTCAGCTGCCTTGGCCGTTTTGCTAATAAAAACTGTAGCGATTTTCTGGCAATAATTCAACTTTAGCTCGGATTTTCAGAATTTCAGTTACAATCTTCATCATTTTTTCGAATCGAATTGTTTACGAATATTAGATTTATGTATACGAATATTTTTTTATATGGAATTTTGATTAGCCTTATCATTTATTAGGAACCTTTTTAATTTATAACTGACATTTATATAACTTGTTGATTTTAGTATTCCAAATACTAATAAGTATTTTACTCTACGACAAAGTACATATAAAATTCGCATCAAGACTAAGAATTTTTGAAGGATACGGAATACCATTGTTCTGTTCAAAGAAATGCGTAAAAAACCAGACACTAAAATATTGTGTAAAATTTTAAACTAGATGGACCTACAAAAAATATATTGTGCGGGTAGTTTCAAATTGTAATCTTTATTCAAATATTTGTAGTATAGGATTATATATAAAATACAGATATCTAGGTTTATTTTTCTTTTTGGGTTAGTCTCTTGTGTCAGCACGAGACAAGAAAGGGCGTAAGTTGCATTTAAGCTCCTCCAAGGGGCGCTGGTGGCACGTGGTTATCTAGCGGATGTTATTTTAGTAGCAGCGAGCGCCCTTTGTCCTCAATCTACGATTTATCACTTGCACTATCTGGGGTCAACGCCCTCGCCACTGAGCGCACATTGTAATCTTACTACAATAGGCGTTCGACGCTCATCGAGATCCAATAATTGTCGTTTTCCTGATGCAATGCTGCTCCAGATTTTACGCTTCAACTGTAACCTAAATTTTTACTCGTCACGGTGGGCCAAAATCTTTTACAAATTAACGAGCTCGTAGCTTTAATGGTAGAAATGTATGCCTAATAATCAATGGGTCGTGGACTTTTCTAAAACACGTATGGATATTAAATGATGGTAGAAATGTGGAAACTCCGTACAGGTAACGAACTACCGGCCATAGATGAAAAAAATAGATTTCAGTCCGTGGATTCCGAATATCCAAATCCGAAAAAGGTTGACACCGCTCTTGTTTAAATTGTATATGGCTGGAGTATTAAGTGAATCCCACGCTGTTTGCCCTCGTCTATCATAAAAAATGCATCTAACTCGAAAAGAAAAGTAAATCTTATTTGACTTGTTTGTAGGATTGCCCTCACTTATAATATACTGTATATATTATTCGCACATACAATAGCATCTCCACTGTAATGTCTCTTAAGCCAGCCTTCGCTGTTTACAGGAACGCAATGTGGACGTGGAGCATCGGTTCGGTGAAACGCTGGGGACGAGCGGTGCGGCCGGGGCGCACGCAGCCCGCGGCAAGAAGAAGTCTACGAGGTGTCGGATGGTTTTCAGAACAGAGATCGTAGACGCAGCAGGACGAACGGAAACCTTACAAGTCTGCTCCACTCAAATTATATGCAGTGAGTCAACTTGATTTTAGACTAAATAAGAACCAGCGGTTTCTGAGATAAGCGCATTCAAACAAACATGAAATCGCTTCAAAGTAGTTTTTATTGACTTAGAGCGGAATATAATAAAAAGGGCAATAGTTATGAACTAGTTCCATTTCTACATTAAATTAAATCTCAAAAATCTAATTTCGAATTAACAGACAAATAGCACAATATTATATTATTTGAAAGAAAGACAGATTGGCTATTCAATCGGGCAGAGTCACGACTACTTCTTATCCCCGACGTCCTTGATGACGTCATCTCAGTATTCCTCTAGCAATAATTCCATTTTTTGTTAAGGATATAATTTCTTAACTTATTAATTTTCTTTTTTGGTAAGGGCTATCTATTTAAATCTTTAATTTGTTATTTCCAGCACAACCGCCCGGTGTTCCAGAAGTATGTCGAAAGTCACTCGTCTCATGTCCGGCTACGGGCGGCTTAGAACTATACCTCCTAGGCAAGAATTTCCTTAAAGAGACCCGGGTGGTGTTCCGGGGTCACCACGAGGGAAGGACGTGGGAGGAAGAGGTTGTGCCAGACAAGGAGTTCTTGCAGCAAGTCAGTTTATAAATATTGATAACATGCGTGAAATCACAAAGCATAAAAAAAATTTAATTACGCCTAACTTGGTGAAAGTTGGTCTGCGGCATCCCAAACTGTGGGAAAATGTGGAGCAGGTTTTTATCGTAAATCAAGCGAACCCATAAATTGAAAAAAATGCAAAAATAATAACATGTGAAAAATATTTATAAAATCCATAAATATCAATATAAAATGAAGTCTACAAATAAGAGTCCTTGCAGTGTCTTGTGTCATTTCTTTGGAAAAAGGTTCCTAGCTTTTTTGCCATTGTGTGTATAAGAGCTTACATAGCTTAGGTGAAAATTATAAAATCCGCCATTTTGAATTTCAGACGCACTTGGTGTGCTGCGTCCCCCCGTTCATTCGGCCCGACATATCGGAGTCGGTGAACGTGCAAGTGTTCGTCCGATCCGGAGGGAAGACGTCGGAGCCTCACACCTTCCTCTACACGCCACCTTCCCTCGAAACAGGGCCCGCGCACTGCACGAGGCATCACGCCCATGCGCACCAAACGGGTACGCCTTAAATCTCGCATGCTTTGCAAGCCGGGCGCTCGTGCACTTTTCCACGTCTACATTCACTGTGGCCGGGCCTGTCCCGGGACTTAAATGGGCCGCAGAAAATAGAAGCAAAAAATACAATGTTCGCTATGACGAAAACATTCAGCTAGGCTATTATGTCGGGTGCGTTTGAGCACTTTTTCCTGTAAATAATGCAATTCGATTAACGACTTGAAAATGCACGAGCGTCATCTATACATATGCAAATGAACTTATAATTGTCGTACTTAAATGTAACATGTTGCATGATTACTAACAATAATATGTCGCTTCCATTTAAAGACAAAAGATTGAATTGCTATGTAATAATCGGTTACACTTAAAGAAGCAAAGTCAACGCACTGAGCGACGGCGCCGGTCTCGAAAACGGCCGCTCGCACATCATGGAACTGTCAAAAGCGACAGAACCGGTTCATCGACTGACTGTGACAACGCTTGTTTATTTGATCAATGGAGCTTCATAACCGAGCATTCTTATACGGAAACTAATGGTTTTACTAAATAACATATTCGCAGCATTGTCGAACTAATCTACGTTCAGAGGATATTCATTACCGACAGTATGCCAAATGACTATGTTATTGTATGAGAACGCTACGTGTATACGTATATGCAATTATGTTGAAATATTTGATTATTCCTATTAGTTGCGTTTCTGAAATAATGTGGGATTATTTGAAACTTGCATACGCATTGCATATATGTATTCGAGCACATTGCGTAACAACGAACCGCTTTGAAATGTTTGCTTTTGTCATCCGTGTGCATGTGATATGTTTAAGTTAATATAATAACTTTGTAGTTATAGAATTGAAAGAAATCACTGATGCGTATATGCGTACTGTTTCTTTCCGCTCTGTTCAAGCTAGGTCTGTCTAGGTAGCGAGATCGCCCGCAGCCAGCCGCGCCTGCCCGCGTCTCTATGGTACTGCCACACGAACACAACGACCCACCCACAGATACACTTACGGACTCACTCCACACCGACACTCACAGCTCACACTCACTGAATGTACTAAGATCAATCGATTTTAATGTGTTACTTAGATCGAATCGATACGATACATCCCCATGGAATCGCACGATGTATCAGATTTTAGAATCGTGGCAGCGATTCTAAATAGTTTTGTGATGTTGAACTCTTGTCGTTCGCTTTGAATCGCTCACTTGACACTCACAGAAATGACTTCCCACGAACGTACTACACCGATAACTCTTGACAAGATTTGTACTGAACAGGTGACATACACACAGCGCGACCCCCATGCACCCCCGAACTAGATTTAACTCTCGCCTTGTACTATGAACGTTCTCTATTCATTGCAGTCGATTTAAGATACGGTAGGGGCTATTCTTAACGGCACGATATGTTCTAACGTAAAACCACATCTATCGCGACGACTTCGCCGACCGAAATAGATTTCTTTTACGTCACAGCATATCCGATTTAATTGATGAAATGTGTTACAATTTTATAAAGACAATACTTATTAGACTCTCCCACCCTCTAATGAGAATTAATAAAACGGCACAATTTTCAATGATTAAAGGCCACTCGCTATTGTTAAGTGACAAGTTGGTTGTTTATTAAATTAATCGTCCGTGACCGCGAAACGTTGCGAAATAATTCAATAAAACATCAAGTTAGTGGTAGATAGTTGCAATGGATATCTGAGAACGGAAAGGCGTGCTCGCCCAGCATCGGTGAGATTGTGACTAATCGCGTTTTCCGTCAGGTGAAGAGCGGGAAGCGAGGCCCGTGGCTTGGTGGGGCGGGGGCGCGGGAGCGGGGCTCGGGGGGCTAATGCCGCCCCCCGCGGCCCCCACCCGTCGCGCCTCTCTTATCGTACCCGATCCCCATTCGCCGCTAGGACTCAAAAGCGAGGTGAGTAGCGATCATTTCATTCATCCGAGCGGTCAATTTGATACTTAGAATTATATCTTTCGCGGCCAGCGTCAGTCCGAGATTGTCTGGCAAGCGATGTTGGTTAATGTACGTTAGTGAGTGGGTCGGTTGGGCGCAGGTGGACGAGACCAGCCAGCAGTCGGAGGGCGACGAGCGCGAGGACCTGCCGTCGGACAGCCTGGCCGTCATGGACCTCCGTCTCAAGTCCGAGAACCCCCCGCAGCAGGTCGGTTCACGCCTCCCCTTACTGCATCCTCGCACGGTCGCTTGTACTATATATATATAATTCTAATTCATATACCCTTTAATCATACTCTTCTATTAATATTCACTCGTGGCTCGCCGTAACGTTTAGTTCCGAAATGGCTTCATTCGATGCACGTTCACATCAGCTCCACCCGCTGTGCTCCCACTATGCCTAATGCTTCTCTTTTCCGTAGCAGGTGGGCTTCGTCAGCGGCTTCGACTCCATAAAACTGTCTCCCTCGACGAGCTCACAAAGCGAGCCCCAATCTCCGATCGCGTCTTTTTCCCAACAACTGGCGGCCATTCAGAACCAAGTGCAGACAGACAAGATGGTGGAGTCTGTCACTGCGGCGATATTTAACTCGGACGGTGGTGGCCAGATATATGTCGACCCTCCGATCATGCCTATGAGCCAAATGGAACAGATGCAACAACTCTTGTCGAGCAAAACGCAGATGGATCCCCTAGAGACGGACATGAAGGTCCTCAATTCAGAAATGATGATGACCGATACGACTATGCAGACGACCGTCCTCCAGTCTACCACGGAGCAGAGACTCATGGTCTACAACCAGGTTCAACAGAATCGTGAGGAGGCTTACAACCCATTCGGGGGCATGACGAAGATGGAGGCTTCCCAGATCGAGCAGAGACTGGCGCAACAGAGTGCTCAGATGGAGGCGCTGGTCGAGGACGCCATGAAGGCTACCGCCGCCATTCTGCCCTCTGATGCGGCTAAGCTCGACGAGTTTGTCAACTCTCGCGTCGACGACCATCTCTCCGGCTCGGCCACCTCCCCCTCCACCGCGTCCCACGCCTCGGACATCCTGCTGAGTCCGAACGCCGCCGTCGTACAAAGGACCGGCGAACTCCTTCCGATGCCGCCCTCTACTATCCCCGCAGACGTAATTCTTAACCCCCAAGTGACCCCCGGCCTCCTGTGCGAAAGCAACCAAAGAATAGTGATGCCCCCGGGCCCGACGCAGGAGGACCTGATGATGATACCCGACATTCCGACCTCCGTCAAGACGCCTCCGGCGGCGGTTAAGTCGATGATCTTGAACGCGGCGGCGGAGATCCTGACGTCGGACTCGGCGATGAACGCGCTAGTTAAGTCCGCCATCAGCACGGCCAACATCTTCAGCAACGAGAACGCGGGCGCGAGCGCAGTGATGCAAGCGAGCGATGCGCAGCCCTCGGTCGAGCCCACGCAGGAGACCCCGCTGGACGCCATGTCGCAGGCCGTCAGCCAAGCGGTCACTCAGGCGGTGAGCCAAGCCGTCAGCCACGCAGTGAGTCAAGCCGTCAGCCAAGAGATGACCGCTCCCGTCCAGGGCTTGACGGATATGAGCGATCAAGATCTGCTTTCCTACATTAACCCTTCCACTTTCGACCAGGGTGAGTACTACAGTATGGATGTTTACTATAGTGACTAGACTAGACTAAATGATCAAATTCTTTTATCATTATTTAGCTTTATGTGCCAAACTATGGTGGGTCGGGTCGATTAGCAAATAGAAAACGCTTTTTATTTTATAGTTTTGTATGAATCATGGCGCCGTCGGTTGCACCTGACCGGAATCACAGGGTGGCAAGATAGATTAAGGACATTGGTCTAACTTTGGGGAACTGTCAGCCACCGTGCTATCCCGGTCTGGTGCGCCTGCGCTTCGTAGATCTTGGGGTTTTAAACATGTTTTATTGATAAAGAGTGATCTTATTTAATCGCTGTTGTTTCAAGAGTACTTACATTTTAATTAGATTATTAAAATATTTCCGTTTGCTGTGTTGGTGTTGGATTAAGGCTAAGCTACCAGTTATCCTAGATTTAAACGTATTAATTATTCTTGTAACAACTGCAAAACGAATGACATACTACTTACTAGAGACCAGACTAACTTGTGCGTTGTAGTACGACTTAGGAGTAACATGGCGCCGTCTTTTACAGTGTGAAGGCGAGGCGACTGCGGCTCGTAAAGCATTTCTAGTGACGTACCGAGGGCTCAAAGCAGTTTTTATGTGAATTTTTAATGAGTCACTAACGTGCGACCCCCGACCGTAATCTCTGAGCGCGCGCAACGAAATGATTCTCATGTTAATTAAGAGAGATAGGCGAATTGGTGCGACCGCGTGTCAATTGTGTCAAGTGAGTCAGTATTACAGGGCCGATCGGGCGCAAATGTCAATTGTCAGATTTATAAGTTTAAAACCGGAAATTTTTTTTAAACTTTTTTGAAAATGATTTTTAACTTCGGCCCGACCGGCCGAAAGTGTAAATGTTACGTACTCGCGTAAACTGCGAGTCAGGTCAAAAACTTCCGTACTTAGCGAGGGGGGACGAAAGCTTTCGATCGTTCGTTCCGCGTCGGTGTCGCTGCGTCGTCGTCGCCGTTTGAGAATATTGTTTAGGTATGTATTGTTGTATTTTCAAACTTCAGATGTGTATTTTGGTAAAGTTAAAATATTCGAATTTTATGTAAATAAAGAGATAGCTTTGTATTTATGTTATTTGTTGATGTATCGGATTCTGAAACGTGCTTAATGAGCAGTCATCTGTGCAATGTAACACACGGTCGGGCGAGTGTTTCCCATACGACAATGCTGTAAAAACGGTATTAAACCGTTGCTAAATATCCCAAAATTGAACTGTTTTCACGTTTCACGAATTCGCGTTCATAAATTGGCTTTAAAGTGTGTAGATTAAATCAAGTTTGCACAGAAATGTATGAGACGCATTATGTTATAAGTGATTGTTGTTATTGATAATTAGTTAATTGTAAGCAAAAGTACTGATGTGTATAGAGCAAATGTTAAAATATAAACAAATATATAACTATGTTTTATAGATAAATCGAATGCTACATATTATATGTGCCATTATGTTATTGTAGAATAATTGCCTACGTGTCGAAATTATGTGCGAATCGTTTGGTGTACAAGTTTTTGTTTTGGCCGACGAAATCGCTCTTTTGTCACACTTGTGGGTTCCGTCGGTTTTCCTATTAGAAAATCAACCTTCCGTCGACTGCGCAGCGTTTAAAATACATAGACGAAATAGATCATTGTTATTGCATACTCATTACCTCTGCATTTTTACAGTCAATATTCTCTTATTACTATAGGTAGATCATTAGCGTACTATCTTAAGATTTTCGAAATACCCTCAATAGCCTAATAAGGTTTGTTCAAATATTTTCGCCTAATTTAGCGATAGATACACGAAAAGAAGCAGTTACGAAATATCGTGCCTTTTATATCGTGAATAGAACAATCTGGACGCGACCGGTTTGAACCGATCGGCTCGTTTGAATTGTTTAGTATTGCGAAAACATTCCGAATTTACAATATATTAAAAACAATATAAATATTGCACTTTTAAACGAGGGATCGGTTGAAACGCGCCACCTCTTCGTACCAGTCCCGGGGACCACATCGAACAATATACACTTTGCCAAATTATACAATATTAACTTTTGATCGTATTCCTTAATATAGTTATTTATGAAGTAAACTAGGAACCGTGCGTTCTGTACGGGCGCATTATTACATCGACCGAACAAAAATGAGGCGACAGGAGTTCACTGAATTAGGGAAGTCTTCCAATTTGCAAAATGCACAAAACGACGCATTTATGAACTGTGTTTTAATCGTTGGAGAGTACGCGTATTTAGAGCGGCCGACTCGACAAATTATTGCATTGACGGGATTTGGACGGCTCTCGTGCAAATCCCAATGTGGGGACGAGGTGCGCACAGATCTCTAGTCGGTCTAAATCAATGCAACTTGCCGAAGTTACGACGATCATGTATGTTATTTGTTTTGATGTAATTGATTAAATGTTATGAAAATTATTAGTTGTTTTAATCCGCATCTATGTCTGGATATATAGTAATGCAGACCTCGTCTGACATAACACTTGTTCGTTCTTAGGCAAGAGCAGATATAAAAACTCTAAGTGATTGTAAATTTTGTCTTATTTTTTTGCATTGACTTTAGCTTGGTCTAAAGAGTTATGACATCACAGGCTAGAATATATATAGATATTTATTGGTCTACTTGACCACAATTAGGTAAGAGTTTAGCACAAACATATTTTTTTATATAGTATTAAGGCCTTAAAAAATAATAAATAAACACAGAGGGCCGGTCGAGTGAGTTTGCTATTATAGACTCCTCCTTTCCCTTGTAAGCAAAGGCCTCTTCTACTAACGAAAACATATTACTATATCCTTCTCATGTACTTCAGATATTTTTTTATTAAAAAATTAACTGAAAGGTTATTTTCATCGACTGCCAGAACTATGATAACGAAACATCTTAGATGGCATATCATAATCAGCGTAATAAAAGCGACAAGTGAAATATGCAATTAATTTAATTGATTCTATTTATAATATTTGATAATGATATAGCACGATGTACACATATTTCCTAGAACCTAACCTAAACCCACATACATACAGACATAATATAGACGCGTTAAATACCTAGGTATGAGCATGCGCAGAAAGTGCAGAATAGGACGAAGATTATTAATACTATGGCCAACCACGCCGGCATAGTACCTGTTGACAAAAATCACATTTGTTATTTATTTCTAGAAAGTTAAGTTTCACAAAGTTTAAACCGAACCGGCTCAAAGGACCATAAAGATTTTAAACTATAAGAAGGTGAGAGAATTTCAATAGTCGGTTGAACAAGACAACACAAGGACGGTCTTGAGATGTCAGTTGTGAAAAAGTTAATCGTTACTATAACAATGTAGCAACTTGTTAATGATAAAATTAAGTTTTTATTTCAATATTTGTCTCCCAAATGTCAAAGCAAAAGGGCTAGAGCATTATGCAAATTCAATTTTGACAAAAGAGGTCAGACAAAACCGGGGTTGACTTGTTTAAAAGACCTAGACCTAGACATAGACATTTGCCCATATAGAAAGCAGGTTATTCAGGGGTCAGTAAAAAAATTTTACTCGCATTTGAACCCCGTGCCTGACCTCGGTCTCTCATCACAAAGTTATCAACTCACTGCGTTGCGGCAGCGCGTGCACGTAGAGGCAGTTGTCTACAGAGATGGAGAGAAGGGCCGCCTCGCTCCGACTGGTGATGGAGGGGCCGTAACCCCGGACGGGCAAGAACGCCAACCCCGTCACGAACATGCGGTGAGCGCTCTTCACGTGTAACACGCGCTGGAATTCATTTCTCATTCTTATTATTAACTCTAAAATAATAATTAATGAATTCCAAAATAACAATTTAAAAATAAGAGCGGAGTCTTAGGTTCGAAACTTAGGAAAAAAAACTTAATTGTTTCGGTCAGGCAGGACGCAGAAGTCTGATCAAGTACTAGTCTGTTAATAAAAACCGCTCAGTGAAACGGACACAAAAATGTGTTTAACACATTATTGCTACCTGTATGAGCAAAAGAAAAGTATTAAGACGTCAATATAAAAAATACCTGCAAGCTAAATGCGATATATATATCAACAGATCCACTAAACATTGTGCCAACTCCGACAAACCGTCCGTCGTCCCGCACCGTGAGGGCGGATAGCGCCTCGTTACACACCACACTGCGCTGTAGCGTCCCACTGTTGGGCTCCCACAGTTGCAGTAGTCCACGCTGCTTGCCCGACCGAGCTAGCGGGTTGGCTATCGTGAACATCCTTTGTTCGTTGGGTTTGTCTTCTACCATGGCAAATCTACAGAAAATTGCAAAGTTATAAAAAAATAAACAGCGCACTAACGCTAACTTTTGAATGTCCTGTGAAAACCAGGGCAGAGAATGTACAATACCAGTATTATGCTGAAGGACTCCTTGTAGAATATTATGTTCTAGGAATTTCAATTTGAACCAGCAACATTGTGGTTTCCTGATAAACTAAAAATAGAGCTTGTGCGTGCGAAACACTAACTTGCATCTCCTAAATAAGAACTTGGTGCCGTTGGGCGGCTGGCAGGTGAGCTGTAGCAGCGGCGCCGCCTTTTCCTTAGTCGCCCACAAATGTGCAAATCCATCCTTCGCTATGCTCACCAGCTTGCTACTGCACGGGCTGAAGTCCAGGTCGTCCAGCTATAAAGATAATAAAATTATGTTTCCACAATATGTGCACTATTTTCCCGACAGTTATTATATCGAAGGCAAAACAAAATTCAGGCTAGTTATTAAGCATCTCGTCTTGAAATTCAATTAATAAAACCGACAAATCTCAAAACCACAAAAATACTTAATATTTTGTTGTAATTTGTTCCTAAACAGTGCAAGTTCAACCTTAACATATCCATGCATATTAATATCTTAACGTATAGTCATATATCTCACATGAAAACAATAATTTGTATAACTTCAATACAATTCAATTCAAAGGAAACCTACAAAGCCAATGCCTGAAGAATTTATATTTATTACTTGTCTTTTCAACTTTTCAAAATTTTCCCATTTAATAGAAAAATATCAAATAACTGATATTTTATAAAACTTATATCTATCTACAACATACAAGCCGCGTTTCCCCTATCTCCCCCTTTTTTTAAATTTGGTTATGAAATCCGAACAACATATTAGGGTTTCTTGAACTCTTTAAATTACGGAAATAATTGATAATGTGTTAAAAGTATGTCAGCATATTTACTCTTAGATAAAAGGTCAGCATACTATCAATAACAATAATAAACTTTTAATTATTATGTTTTATATTATTTATTTAACTTGTAGCAGCTTATGTTAGTAACGCCCTACAACCATTTTTATTATCCACTAGTAGTCTAACCACGTCCGATTTTCGTTTCTGCAGTCGGAAGTTTAATCCTTAGTCGCACAACAAAAATATAGTGAGACATTGTGGAGTAACGCACATCTTACAAGAAATTCATCTACGAAGACATTAAGATATTAATAATTATAGTACCTATAGGAATGGTGATGATTCAGATCCACAATCTTAACCCAGAAACTTAGCAAAGCATTGCCATGCATTATAAACTAGACCAAGGTGAAGGAATAGAATAAAGAAATATAACTTAAGGAAATGGAATGATCCTTCAATTTATACGTACATAAAAACATGTTACATACTTAATTAACAATATAATTAGCTTCTAAGGCAAACTAGTTGAGACATTTATAATTACTGAGTACTCTGAGAACTCTACTCTTGGATTTTCCGTGCTACACTGTATTCAATAAGTCAAAGCAGCAAGAAAACATATTTTTTTATAAATTACAAAATTAGAATTACCTCTTTTGTGTGGCCTTTGAGTTCAAATAATAATTGCATCTGTGGAAAATTCCATACTCGGATAATTCCATCAACTCCACCAGTGGCCATCAGGTTTCCATCAGGACTTATTGATACTACTCGTTGTAATGGATCATCGCTGGAAAACAAAATATTTTCTTTACTAGAGCACTTTATTTGTATGCTATTTAATTCAACAATGCAGAAACATTAAATTTTAAAAAAGGATTGCCTGTACTTGTAATTAAATAGTTTATTACCTAAAATCAGTTTGAACACTATCACTCGGCCTCATTTCAAATGATATTCTCTTCTCAGTCGTGTTACAATTGTTATCCATCTTAGATATATTATCATTTTCAGAAACTGTCCGGCGACGTCTACGAACTAGGCCATTCTCAGCTCTAAAGCTACCCCTTCTCATCTCGGCAGCATCCACCATACGGATGTTAACTTTATACAGCTGACAGTGGCTCTCCTGCCCAGCGGTTAAATATGTTCGATTCTGGACATTGCGTACTGAACAGTTCATGACCACATTTGGTCCTGTTTCATGCCTCATTACTTCTTCAGCCACAAATTTGCTACCATTGTGCGAGAGTTCAAATATTTCCTATAAATGTAATGGTAGTGTAACATTTTAAATTTTACAAGTATCAGACACTTAAGAACACGTAAGAACATCAGCTTTTTATGTAATTTTTAACATTAGAATATTATGTATTCATTAAGTTACTGTGGCAAAATTGATATGCAGAGACATCAATAAATATGATATATAAACAGTTACAGCATTATTTAAATAATAATCAACATAAACAAATTCTTGGTAAGATATTACACAAATTAAGAATAGCCCCAATCTTATTATAGTGACCAGTTAACAGTAATCTATTACATTGTTTATACTAATCTCCAAAAAACCTAACAAATGTTTATCTTGATGTTTAGACAAGGTATGTTCCTAAAATATCTTTTATTTAGAAACATGTAGAAAAAAATTACGCGCATAAAACGAAGCCTTAACATACAAAAGTAATCAATATGTGTACTTGAAGTTAACGGTTCGTTACGGATTTCCCAGAAATTTATTTCGAAACAATGCTTTGACGTATACTTACAAATCCATTAGCGACGCCTGTATTAGATGCTCCGCCACCTCCAGCCACGATAACATGTCGATTAGTAAGGGTTTGTAAAGTGTAAAGAGGAAAATCGACCTTTGCAAGCAAACCATCGCATCTACTGCGCGACATTTTTGGTTGTTCCAAGCACTCTCGGTGTTTCATACGCTAAAACTTATGAGTCTACAGTTGCTTAACACAATAATTAACAACATGGAGCACTTATTTGATAAACATCTTGGAAAAAAATAGAAAAACAAACTAAACAACTGGGACCAAATTCTGCAACTTTGAAACTTCCAACATGACAAAATTTGATGCAGTCAGATGTCAGTCTGTCATTTCTTGAAAGCAAAATATTGTAGACGTCATTATTGTAACAGACTATAGTAATAAAAAAAACTATAGTCTGTGAGCACTTTTATTGAAGAAAAATATAAAGAACTATGCATTAACTACGTTATCATACAAATTAGGTCAAAAAGAATTATATAATAAATAAGGCAAGACATTTTGCTTAACCATAATGAACTTTTCTCTTAATTACAACAAATAAAAATAAAACACAGCTACAGGTTTATAGCGTTTTTTTAAGTAACAAACGTATCTTACATTAAAATATATTATTTTCTTACCATCTATCAGAATAGATTCGGTAATAACAACATTACACAATAATAAATGAAAATGACACACACATTCACAAGATAAAAAAAACACGTACAACTCCATAATCCTGTATCTTTCAAGGCATTATAAATAAATTAAAGTTTTTTTGTAAAAAAAACAATCAAATCGGCGCAACTTAATATTCAGAAATTGAAAATGTACTTACTTGAACTAAATATATAAGCATAGAGGTAGTATTGTCAGATTCATGATAAATTACAGTAATAACATACATATTATCAAAATGAAATTGTACTTAATTAAGTTAATTGTTCACGAGATCAACAGCGTTTAAAATATGACCTGTACATACCAATTCTATATGTATGTATCTTTCAGCCCTTTTTGTTGACACACATTTTTATAATGAAACAATAAGATTAGGAATATACACATACATACAGTTTGAATTTAAAATATCTTTCTATGCCTTGGCAGTATGTAGCATATATTTTTTTTACTATTATTATATTATGAAGCTTTTGCTCACTATTGTACTTTTAGATGTGGTTTTTATTTGTAAGCCACGTGAGTAAATATGTTATTCAAGCCAGCTTTTACCTCACCTCGCCCTCTAGAACAAACTATCTAAGGTTTTATGACCAGTACTCAAATCTAGTTTATAAATTCCACCCTAACACCAATGCCAGAGTTAGACTATTCTACTTCATTTTAAGCCTTGAGCCACTGATTCCCGGCGTGAGGGAATCAAAGGCGAAACACACAGACACACAGACATTACTTATAGACAACGATATCCTTCAACCACATCAAAAATGACCAGTGCAAATCAATTTAGCATAAAAAGATACAAAGTGAAGTCAGCCAATGAAACCAACGACAGCGAAATTGACAAAATTCTCGCTGAATTTACTCAGAGTTATTTACAACAATCTGACAAGACCTCTCTGCGTCGAGAAAGACCAGCACAAATGTCATGATTTCCAAGTTACCTGCAGGACTGTGTTAGACAAACCATCTGAAAATTAATGTCATTCTTCAAAGTCCAATATGTACGCTTTCTTCTTAGTTATTAAAGCCTAATTTCCAGTTAATCTTCACTTAGTTTAGATAAAACACTAACGGTTCAAGACGCGATATATACATTTCAAATAAGTTTCACTAATCTATATCGCGTTATATACCGTTAAAGTGTTTTATTTAAATGTGTATTACTCGCGTAAACTACAGACAGTATTCCCGTAGTTATCAATCGGCAATGCACATCCTATAAGTTAATAATTCGCTAAGCGGTATTTAAACCGATGTGGCCGTACTAGTAGGTGAATATAATGGATCGGATGAGACCATCGCGTACTGAGTCGCTGCTTTGTCCAATGCCGAAGTTGAAGAAGACGGACTCGGCGGCCACCTGCTGTGCGCATGTACCCATGGGGTACCAGCCCACTTTGTTGAAGACTATCCCCACTTTATATACCTGAAATATACAGTTAAATATTATAACTTCTGACATGAAGGCAAAGTTCAAAACTCCTGTGCTCCTACTTAACAAAAATCTCAACATCTAAAATTTATCTAATCTTATTTTTTTATCACTTTATTGCACAATTGAAAAGAAGAAGAAGTTAGAAACAAAATGTATATACCAAATATAAGGAGTGCAATGGTAAAGTATTTGAACGATTATAGTGTACCTTATTACGCTGAATGTACACCGGTCTGTTGAACATGACGTCCAAGAGATGGCGGTAGGGCACGCGGCTCGTGTAGTGCGTGTACGTGAGTCTTGCGCCGTCCGCGTCCAGAAGGTGCGCGTACAGCAACTCCGAGTAGCCGCCGGTGTTGCCACCGGTCACGGCGTTCTCTTCGCTCGGCGCTTGGGTCGGCACCTGGCAATATGTCTACAAATTAGTAGGTGTTTATTTAAACGCGCTAGTATTCGACCATTTTTTGAGACTATCACAGTACAAGCAAGTACAAGTACAAGTTTGAACGCGCGTGCAACAACACCGTGCTTTTTTAAAGATCGAAAATAAATTGAAAAAATTTTCGACCTCGGGCAGAACTTGAACCGGCATCGTCAGCTTTCCGTGCTGTTGCTCTGTTTCCGGAAACTGAGCAACAGCACGGAAAGCTGACGATGCCGGTTCAAGTCCTGCCCGAGTCGAAATTTTTTTTAAATTTATTTTCGATCTTTAAAATATATAGTGCCTTCGTGTGCAATAACATGTGAAAAATATTAATGTTTTCAAACACCGTGTTTTGACAACTCCTGTAAATTTTATTATTTTGTGTTAAATTAGTGCGCGTTCTAGTGTGAAAAGCTTCGGCTGCTAGTGTAATAAATGAATAAATATCATCGCTGACGGCATAAAGTTTGATGAAATTCGGTCAGCACTACTGTCTTTTCAATGCTGTCAACAACTAATTAGAAGAGATTACAAATAAAAACTTTCTGTAGTTTACACGAGTACACATTTAACGGTTTAAAATGCGACAGGACAGATGGCGCTAGTACAGCAATTTTTGACTTTGGCATTAGAGATAGGCATTTAATTCGCGATTTAAACCGTTTAAGTGTTTCATTAAAAAAAGTACAAATAATCGTTCATTCCGTCAGTCAAATCACAATACTTTGTTTGGGTTTCTTTTTACCTGTACCCCGAGCAAGCATATGTTCTTATCAACCATGAAAGTCACGGAACAATCCAATACGCTGGTGTTGAGGCAATCGGTCTGTTGAACCACAGCCCGTTGACAGTAGATCTTATGCAGGTCTGAGTTGTGTCTTTCCGCGTGCTCCACCACCATACCGAGGACGGGCCATAGACCTGGAATCGTATATTACATACATTACATTTAAGTTCTACTTTTATAGGGCACTTTGGATTTATAGCGTCCTTTGGATCCAAATCCAAAATATGCTGTAAAAACTTTGTAAACAATCAAGACAAGAATATCATTATACTACTAATTAAATAAAGGAGAGAGAGAGATAGATTTGATGCATCATATCACATGTAATATATGAAATATTCCTGGTGACAAATGGTCTTTTTTTACACCATAGATAACTATATACTTACTTTCATGTCTGGTTGGTCTTGGATATGGAGGGCAATGGTTACCCGTGGAGGGGGGGCCACGGCTCCCCTCACCCCACACTTGCTCTACAGCTACTGGGCTGGGAGTGTCCACTACGAAGGTGGTCATCTACAATTTATACAGACAGTATTTAGTAGTTAATAATTGAATTAAACTTGGATGAAATATCAAATAACATAATAACGCTACGGGTACGAGAAGTATTTTTACCTAACCTTCGAAAACGCCCATTTTAGGCCCCTAGTAGACAAGACAGAGAAGTAATATTTAATAAACCGAATCTATTTACCACATCGAATCATCACAAACTTACATTACAAGAAGGTCCACATCCGATCAGTTGTTTCCTCGGAGTCCGGCAAGTGGAGAAGCCGGTGGGCATCGGGACATCCGAATTGTTCGAGAGGATATTCATCAAGACCGTAAAAGCTTCAGATTCGGTGAGCAGGGACGACCTCGCCGGGCCTTCGGCGAACTGCTGCGCTGTCATCGTCAGGAATCGGATCTTCTCTATTGCACTGCGAAGGGTGGGTTTACTCTCCGTTGCTAAAAGTATTAGAATACTATGTCAATTTTATTCTGCAATAAATTGCTTTTATGAATAGCTATCACTTATATCTCGAACTAACAAGACATATTTCTTTTTGTGTTATAACTAATTATATGGAAAATGAAAGTAGATGTGCATGTTCAACGAAATGTATCCACATATTCTCAAAAGCGTTTGTATTTATTATATTGGTAAGAGTGGCATTTCACTTACTCTTAGGCTTCTTATTCTCTGGTGGCTGCGTTGCGTGGTCTGATTCACAGGCTCGACAAGCATCTGCTGGCTGGCTGGCTGCTGGGCTGTTCTCTGCACTGCTTTCTACATTCACTACCTGCATTTACCGTTTATTACGGTTATTTATTTGAATGTATCCATGAAATATTATTTTTTATCTTCTTTTACTAATATTTCCACTATTTCTGAAATAATACCTGCTGGTTCTCTTTAGACGTAGATGGTGGAGGACTTTTAGGTCCACTCTCTGGTTCCCTCTGTGTTGTAGAATCATTAGAAGGACCTTCAGCAGTGGGACTAGCACTCCTTTCTGTGTTTCTTTTCTCCATTGCCTTTGCATACCTTAAATAATGTTTTTAGCTATTTAGATTAATACGTTTTTTTAACTCAACGCGAGAGGTCGTGCGTTTAAATCTGTGGGAAATCATTCAAAAGTCTGATCAACTATGTAACTAAATGCCCAGCCTAGAAATGTGTTCATCACAGGCCATAGGGCAAATAGAATTTCGCACTCTTTTAATTCAGATTATGCACTAAACAAAATATGAACATTTCTTCAACATACTGATACATGCATCTCTCGCGCAATGTAATTTCAACGTTAATACATATTACGGTTCAATGTCTTATGCTTTGCAGCTTAAGAAAATTATTATTGTAGCTCAAAATGTTAACACCCAACTTGTCCCTATTATTAATTTCAGTACAACACAAACCCAAAGCTAGTACAGTAGAACTGTATATATGCTGGACCAAGCTTCCAAAAAATTTTGGTAGAAACAAGATTCTAATTTACCTCACAGCTGCATTGAACAGATCCATTTCCGAGTCAATATTGAGATGATCCATTGAAAAAACAGTGATCACTGTATTTAACTCCACTTCCTCAAAACTGCTGTCATTTAGAACATCTTTTGTGTTTGTGCTGATTATCTGTAAATTGAATTTATATGTAAAATTAGATGTACAGCGCATATAATATGATATATATAAAAAACCCATACATTAAAAAAAACATTTCTTTACAACTACTAAGAAACATGTTAGTTAAAATTGTTGTAAATTATGATATAAATATTAATATAGGTAATCATATCAGTTTATAACATCAAAACTTTTAAACCGTTAAAGTGTTTTATTTAAATGTGTATACGTAAACTATAGACAGTATTTAACATCAAAACTGATGAAAGCAAGTAATAAGATAAAAGAAACTCAACTAAAGAGACATAAAAGTGTAAAAAAAAACAATTTGAATAGTATTTCATTTTTATTCAATCGATGACAAAGGCAACTTAGGGCTGGCAAACAGTTATGGCAAAAATATTTATATGAGGTGTGCTATTGAGTGTTGACCTAACTTTAGAATACACATAAAACTTATAAAAAATGATGGCAGGTAAATAAAAAAATATAATATTTTTCACTAAAATCTTACTATTACTATGATCACTGCTTTACAACAGGAACCAATCTGCAGTCATGCACTCACTTAAACTACAAATTATTGTTTTTTTTAATTTATTGTTGTTCTTTGTATTATATAAATATTGGTAACTCTGCAATATACATCACAACTTCACCTGCAAACATTTCTCCATCAAAACATTTTCATCAAAGAGGCGGGCAAATTCATAAGCTCTGCATGCATTCCGAGGATAAAGATCAGACCAGAGATATCTAGTGCATTCCTTCACTAAGTGTGGAAGCATGTACTTTTTAGCTCCATAACAAAGTTCACAGGCTTTATCAAAGGAACTTAAATTTATGTTTCCCGTGTAGATGTACCTGAAATTTTAAGTCATTATTAGAATAAACAAACATGTGAGCAAGATTTTTATATTTGTAAGTAGATACTTATTTAAATTTAATAAGCCCAGAGAATATCATATTAAAGTTTACTATATTGTTGCTGATTGCATTTATTTATAGTTTAAGAAAAGAACTATTTGAGTAGCGTTACTGATAGGGAGTTTTGATAAAAATATTTTACTTACTCTAAAAGAGCTTTAAAAGCATCAATTTGCACATCCAAAATTGGAATAGGATCGTTTCTCTCTGGCATGCCACCGAAAAACATAGCCTCAAACACTGGAGATGCCATCGCCAGGATTAGCTTGTGACCAGCTATCACCACTTGGTTGGGGTCAGAACCCACCAAGAAAGTGCAATCTGACCATTGGCCCGTTTGGAGCAAATACGCACCGCGCTGTTTTAATTCTGTGCATTCTAACTGCCAGTCAGTTGGAGCTCCAGCCATAATAATGTATTCAAGTATATCGAATTCAAGTTAGTAGCACAAAAAGCTGTAATGTCACTGATGCTGCGTTTAAGTTAAGGATAATAAAAGGCAGCTTTCATATCTAAAGTAGATTTGCCTTACTAAAATCGTTTAGGATTTTATTTATTACTTATCACAACATAAATAACTATCTATTGCCATAACTTCGGTCTTTGACAGAGGGAAATGGCACGAATGAAGATTATTCTACAGTCACCAATTACCATTCGCCGAGCTCGGAATCTCATATGAAATTATTTTATCTGTGGATGTACTGCAATCTGCTAATGAATTGTCAATTGATGTCAATATGTCAATTGAAAGCAAAACTGTCTAATGTCGATGTTTACTAAATATAAAATAATAATTATTTTATTTGCAAATTATGTCAGGGATTCTTAATTATGATTGGTTATAATTAATGAAACGAACATGAATCACGAGGAAATTAAATCGGTTGTCCAAGAAAAATTTTTATCGAGCGAGAGAGTTACAGCATTTCTCACCGACGCCAAAGTGCTCCACCCAGAATGGGTGAAGAGAGATCGACTCCTAGCTATAGTGGAGTATGGGGACGAGAAAGCCGTTTTCTGCTTGTTCTCCTCTTGTTACCCACCGAAGTCCTTTACAGATCTGTCTATTGAAATCGTTCTACCCATTGACAACAGTTTCAAGTGTGAAATTGATAATAAACCTTCTGACCCTGAAGCAATCTTGTACCTGAACCTGCAATCTCAAAACAATAAATTTAAGTTTGAAATACAGATGACTCCTCGAGTCGACAGTTTTGTGGATGAATTATTCAGAGGTATTGAAGCTGTGAACAAGGTTCCGACACAACCTGAGTTTGTTTGGCTAAAAAAGTATAATGTTAAAGATGAAAATGATATTATAGCCGAAAGTATAGTTCTGCCAAGAAGCGGGATTTTCAATGTGCCCAACTCCGCTCCTGTAGCCATCAGGGAAAGCCTCATCAAGAGGAAGATGTGTGACAAGGAAGCTGAATATACATTTACGAAGAAATTCACTGTTTTCTGTGGTACATGGAATGTTAATGATAAGTCTCCAAACATTCCACTTAAAGGATGGTTGAGTGTTGATAAAGAACCGCCAGATATATATGCCATTGGTTTCCAAGAACTGGATTTGTCAAAAGAGACTTTCTTATTTGACCAAACATTCCGTGAAGATGAATGGTATTGTGCTGTTTTAAATTATATTGACAAGAGGGGAAAATATGTCAAAGTGGAGAAAGTGAGACTGGTTGGTATGATGCTTATAGTTCTTATAAAAGAAAAGCACTACCCCTATGTCCGTAACATTGTGTGTGACACTGTCGGTACTGGTATAATGGGTAAAATGGGAAATAAAGGTGGAGTGTCCATACGCTTTGATCTACATAATACATCGGTGTGCTTTGTAAACTCACATTTAGCTGCTCATGTGGAAGAATATGAACGGAGAAACCAAGATTTTAGGGATATATGTAACAGAACAAGGTTTCCTCAAATTAACCAACAACCTAAAGCAATAAAGGATCATGATCACATTTATTGGCTGGGAGATCTAAACTATCGTATTACTGAATTAGACCCAGTTGCTGTAAAAAAATTGGTAAATGAAAACAACTTTGGACCAGTCCTAGAGTGGGACCAATTGAGGCAGCAACACAAGAGCAATAATGTGTTTGCTGGCTATCACGAAGGTATCATATCTTTTAAACCTACCTACAAATATGATCCAGGAACTGACAATTGGGATTCCAGTGAAAAACATAGAGCTCCAGCTTGGTGCGACAGAATATTTTGGAAAGGCGAACACATCACACAATTAGATTATAGAAGCCATCCAGCATTAAATATAAGTGACCACAAACCTGTTTCTGCTATATTCAGCTCTGAAATCAAAATAATCAATGAAGAAAAATATAGGAAGGTATATGAGGAGGTAATAAAACAATTAGATAAATTAGAAAATGAATTAATCCCACAAGTAAAAGTCGATATAACAGAAGTTGATTTTGGCACAGTGCGTTATTTAGAATTACAAGTCAGAAGCATCACAATAAAAAATACAGGAAAATTGCCTGTAGAGTTTGAATTTATAAAGAAGTTAGATGAAACAAACTTCTGCAAAGAATGGCTTATTGTTGAGCCATATAAGAAGTGCATTTGTGCAGACGAAACTTGTGAAATACAACTAAAAGTTTTGATAAATAAGACTTCAGCTTGTAAAATGAATGCAGGCACTGACAAATTATATGACATTTTAGTTTTACATTTGTACGGAGGCAAAGATATTTTCATCACAGTTAATGGAACATACCAGAGAAGTTGTTTCGGCTGTTCAATTGAGGTTCTAGTTAATTTAAACATACCTATACGAGAAGTACCAGTTGGTAAACTTGTTGAACTAGAAAATAAAAGAGATCAGTATGTGTCAAACCAGTCTACATATTCAATACCAAAGGAAATTTGGTTCTTAGTGGACCATATATATTTACATGGGCTGAAAGAACCTAATCTGTTTGAGCAGCCAGGTTTACACTCAGAGGTGCTTCAGATAAGGGACTGGCTAGATACTGGTTCCATTGACCCTATACCAGGAAGTATACATTCTGTTGCAGAAGCCCTATTGCTACTACTTGAAAGTACAGTGGATCCCATTATTCCCTACAATCTGCAATCAGTATGTCTCAGAGCCTCTGCTAATTATTTACAATGCAAACAAATTATAATGGAGTTGCCAGAATTCAGAAAAAATGTTTTCCTATACCTGTGTGAATTTCTACAGGAAGCATTGCAACACAGTGCTGAAAACGGCCTGGATTCTAAAACTTTATCTACACTCTTTGGAGCCATATTCCTAAGGGATAATCCAAATTTAATCCAAGAACCACAGTCTCGCATCAATAAACAGGTGATTGATAAGAAAAAGGCACAGTTTGTTTATCATTTTCTTGTCAATGATCATAGTGATTTGATTTTTGCAAAATAATGTAAATTGTACTAGCGTTTAGAATACTCAGGAATTTGTTGTGGTTGTAGTCATTTTATGTCTATTTATAAATTAACATGACATGTAGCTTATGTGTAATATTATGACTATGGATATGTAATATCGTCTATCTAGTGTCTATTTAACATTAATTTATTTATTATAGTAACTACTTACCAACGAATACAATGGCCAATGTATGTAGTTTTATACCATGAAATATTTTTTTTTGTACCTGCACCTTGATGACATTTTCTGATAGATGTTATTGGTGCTCATGATTAATTTTTATAATGAACAAAATGGTACAATTTTTATTAATGGTTATAGTTTTTACTCTTCAATAAAACATCTTATTGAAATCGGCAATGTTATTTATGTATATTGTATTAAATTGTTAATGTCTAATAGGGAATTAATGATTCAATATACCCGTATACGTACCATTATTCGCAATGATAACTTATTAAACAATTTACTAATGGTTTTTCATAGTTTTATTGTCCCCTAATAGCTTTATTAGTACCTAAGTATTATAAACTAATATGTACTGATATATGATAATTTCTAAAAATAATATTTTGTCTTAAATATTACCGCCAGACATAGCTTTACGAAAAATTTCCATAGATGGCAGTAGTAAATCATATTTATTTTCATATAATATCTCTTTTCATGTAAGAAGTATTATTATAAAGACTCTTTTTATCCCAAACTAAAGCAAAAAAGTCTTTTAATAGTGTTACGATTATTATTCGATAAAATAGAAATTGATACTCAACAACAGTGGTTAATCTTATAGCCACCAAGATAAAGTATAGAAACTTTTAGTCTATGGTTTCCTTGGCTTCCTAGATCTTGCGATCGATGAAAAATCAAAAGTTAGCGGGAAATTTAACCTTAACCAATCACATAAACGCATTCATCCGTTATGTCAATGAATGTCAGCGAACCCAAATAAATACAAAACATTGTTTTCATAATTTCGTTTCAAAAGTTCCAACTGTATTCTTGTGCTTACTTCATATTCTGCCGTCGCGATTAATTTTAAATTTGAGTTGTAACTGTTATATCGGGTGAGATATTAAATAAGGACCCTGAAGGATTTTTGGTAGAAGTCGTTTAGCATCAGTGTTTATCGGACGCACAAAGACACCAGATTTTTCTTGTAACAATCCTTTATTTCGTACTACCATGGAAGTTGAAACTAAATGTAAGTACCTTTTTAGTTTAAATCTAGTATTGGCGCATCCATTCATTTATATTATAAGGTATTATTATAAGCGTTCTAAAAGTAACGTACCAATTTCTTTTTATTTACTTTTTTTACGTAGGTATTGTGTATTGTAGGGACTTACATATTTTTATGTGTAGGTAGAAAATGTTTAATTTGTAAATTATTAATGGTACCTACAATTTATTCTATAATAAAAATATTTGTTAAGAATTTCTTCACGACTGTTAAATAAAACTGGAACAAGATAAAGTTTTAATTAATAGTACATAAATATTATAATTTAATCATCTAAAATTTTTGCCTACTTCAGTATTTTGGTTTTCCTTTATTATTCTACAAATAAGCTTACTAATTTTTAATCTAAACGCCAAGCGATATTTGGCTGTTAAATCCTTAATAGCATTGAAATACTTAAATTATTTATTACAAAAAACAAAAAAGGTATGTGTCATCTGCCCACGTGACATTTCAGCCGTTACATTGATTTTGATTTGTATGAATTGTTAAAGAGGATTTCGTTTCGTGTTTCTTTTAGAGAGTGCATATTCAGGGAAATATTTAAAAAGGACAAAAAAATCTATTCTTAATATATCATATCTATACTAATATATAAAGCTGAAGAGTTTGTTTGACCTCAGGAACTACGGCATTAAATTGAAAATTAATTTTTGTGTTGATTAGATTATTTATCGAGGAAGGTTATACATAATAACGACTAATAGACGCGAAGATATAGCGGGAAATGTGAACAAAACGGGGGAAATTTTTCATGTCTGTGGGTTTTAGATGCGTACGCTGTGAAAACGGTTCAAGATACCTAAAAAATGTGTATCAAAAAATGATTTCTATTTAAATGATCTAAAAAAAAGTCCGCGACGCTATATATATCTTATCATATTTTTTAAGATTAATTTGCAAGAACGACGGAATTTAGATTATAAAGATGACGGGGTTTGCAAAAACTAATTTAGATGAAATACTGTCTATAGTTTACGCGAGTAGTACACGTTTAAATAAAACACTTTAACGGTTTAAAACGCGATATAATAGTTAAACTTATTTGGAAATGATTTTTAACTTCGGCCCGACGTTTCGGATGCTTTGCATCAGCCGTGGTCACTGGGAGATTACTTAATTTAGATGCCCAAAATAACGATTCTCGCGGACTGAAAGTCGCTGGCTTAGGCTGGCACATATATATACATAACATAAAATGTAATTAAAACTGCGCTGATAGAAAAATGTTTTTCGGCCTTTGTTATTGACATATTATACTGAGACACCATCTTTAGTATGTGATCGTATTAAAAAAATATGAAGTAACTAAGTATAAAAGACATTACTTATTTATTAGTAATATTTAGGGAACGAGGCTAAATTTTCTTTGTCTAGGCTTTACGCTACATAACGTAAAAACGATCGACCGTTGGATGAATCATACGCATCTCTTCCGTGCCCGAGACAACGTTCTATATTTGAATTGTTTACCTTATAAGGCGCATGGCGGTTGGTATTTGTGAATTCTTTATTTTTTGTTTACTTACCTTTTTAAGTTGGGACACTTGATTTGCATAACGCTGTTTTTTAAATTACTGCAAAATAAATTTATTGTATCTAGAATCATTTGAATCTTTAATACCTTACAATAATTTGATATTACTTTGTACGCAAATAACCTACTTCTGGCGTAACCGAATATCACATTTTACGTGAAATAAATTAAATAGTAATACAATTACAATTTGAATTTGATATAACTTATTTGATGTTTCACAAACCTAAATTGCAATTGTGAAGGTTAAGCTTTTGAAATAATTTTATTTTAATTTCAATGATATTTAACGTAATTCATGTTTTAATTAACTTTTTGTTCTAATGACCGAATTTGCAATTGTATGACGTACTAACCTCACCGGCGTATCCACGGGGGGACGCCATCAATTATTATTTGTAAAGTTCTTCAAATGTACAATTAGGAATGAATATTTTGAAGTACAGTACGTTTACGTATGTACATTAAGAAAATACCTACTTTTACTTGTATACATACAAGTAAAAGTTCTCGCTATCGAAATTAATTTAAAGGTCTTGACTTGACCACGACTATGTGAAACCCTCCTGGCGCTAAAGCTGGATCCGTCCTTGTCTACCCTAACTGGAATTAATATATAGATATACTAACTACCAATATTATCTACTGTAAAACTATGAGAGTATTATTTAGGTTCGTACAGAACACAAAAAATACTACACTGATTTCGATGACGTTTAAAGGACAAGATTTATTTTTTATTTTTTTTTATATACAATATTATACATTTGATAAAATATGTAAGACATTGTTGGCTATTTTAAAGACAACGCTCCACAATAGACAATCAATCTTGTGCGGGAACTGAAGTCCCAAGTGGCGGTAAATAGAAAAAACTGGCTTCGAGAAGGTTTATTATTCATTAGCTGTGTAAGCTAATTCATAATAAACTCGTAGAATAGTTATTTTGGCCATTCAAATTTGTTTTTTGCACTCTTCTTCATGTTTATAAATTTAACCTGTTACAAGTTAATCTTAAAGGATAGACATATATAGTCGCGGATTTTTTTTAGATCATTTAAAAAGGAATCATTATATTGTGCATTCTTTTTTGGTGTCTAGATCAGGTTTTCGAAGCGCACAAAGATGATTAATTATCTTCGTTTTTTTTTCTAAATTCCCCGCTGTCTTCGCGCCTATAAGTCGCATCGCGATGTTTCGAAGCCTTCCTCGACATGTGCTCTACAAACACAAAAATAATTCGAACCAGTAATTCCTGAGATTAGCACGTTCAAACAAACAAACAAACCTACATCTACAACAGTACCTACAACAATAAATGTGTAAAATTCCTTCGTCTAATTCGAGTCTGAATTTTCTCTTCGCTTTTCATTGTCTACGCGCAATGACCCGTGAGTCGCAAAAGCTTTGCCATGGGTTATTGATACCGCTATGTTAACGATTGTGAAAATTCTTTTGTATTTCCTCTATACAGAATGTTACAGCGTGAGTCGTATAAAGTGGATTGTTTTTCGATGCATTGGATCCTCTATTTAAAACAGATTTCAAAGCACGTTTATTAGTACAACAATAAAACACTTTTAACGGTTTAAAATGCGAAATAGATCGACTAAATCTTTACTACGACCCGACATTCATATGCTTTTCAGCGGTCCTTTATGTGTCATATGAATGAAAATGGGGTTGGTGCAGAGTCAGTTACGTGAATAATTAAATTTAGTCAAAGGCAAGTAACTATAATAAATGGAGAACAAACGTATATGTTTGTTGTTCATTTATTACTTATACTTTATACTTACTTACGTACTCTTGAAAACTGTAATATTTCTCACGTTATTACAAATAATGGAATTTTGTAAGTTACACGAGGTGCAAGTATCAATAGGTTGAATAAATTCGACGAAATCGGGTAGAACAAGGTAGCTCAATTGGTTAATGCAACACCACGGATCGCTGTACATATCGGTTCAAGTCCTGCCCTTGTCGTCAATTTTTTTCAATTTAAAATCGATTTATACACATACAATTTGTTGTAATAATGTATAGTAGGTATATAATTTAACAGACACGTAAGCCTAAGGTTTCATAAAAGAGTATGTATGAACAATTTAACAGCTCGCTTCCGCCTGATTTAACTCCAGCTGGCATTAGCTGGAGTTATAGAGCATTAGAGCCTAGACGTTGAGTCTTCCTTTTAATACGTTTAACGTA